CCACAAATAATTAGATTGTCACATTTAATATAGCAAGACCTACCCTTTTTCTCTCTTTGCACATATTCATCCTTATTACCAAGAACAAGATTCGCAAGTAAATTAGTCTTACCTGTACCACTCCTTCCACTGACTAGTATACTGAAAGGCCATGTCATCGCCGGATAACCAATATTTCGGAATGATTTATGCTTTGTAACTTCATCCATATCCAAAAGATGAAGTTTCATAGGAGGTATTTTTGTTTTTGAATTCTTCTGCATGACGGATTGAATATCTATAACTCTGTTTTCTATAAACTAGATAAAAAATTTTTTTCTTTCTGCTTAGTTGAAAAATTTGTCTGTATATATACTATATAATTAATATTATCACTAAGGCTAAAATAACAAGCTTGAATATAGATAGAATTATATACTGATCATTAACTAAAGCATTGTTAACTCCTAACGTAATAATAGATAAAGCTTGAATACTATCGAGTTTCTCTTTTGATTTTTGATCAGCGTGGTCTATTAGAGGCTCTACTACCTCTTTTACATTGCATTTATCGAGATTAAGCTCTGAGTGATGTAAAGAAAAAGAGGAGGTCTTAGAGAAACCAGATACCTCTTCTATAGCATCGCCACCTATTCTTAAATCATTAGATAGTGGATCTAATTTTAGAGAGATCTCTTCTAGTTCATCTTCTAGATCACTTACTCTAGACCTAAAGCAGAAAATTAATCTATCCTTAAATGTTAAATTTCGCATAACTTGCTCTAGTTCGTTTTTTAATTCCTTCACTCTAATCTCGTGAAGAGACTGGGTAGTATCAGTATCCTTTAATAAAGCTTTTTGTGCTATTTGTTCTAACTCAGCCTTTAGTTCATTTATTCTAGCCTCAAGAGAAGAAATTTCAGAATCCTTTAAAAATGAAGCTTTTTGTACTAAAGATAGTGAGTTTTCTAGTAAATTAATCTTAAACTTTAGTGATTCTATTTCTTTTAACTGTTTGGCATTAAGATCAGCACGAGACTTTCGTTCGCAAGTAATTTGAACCATAAGCTTATTATTCACATTATTTAGTTGCTTAGTTAAGGGGACAATTTGATTTATAGAAATTTGTATATGCTCTTTTTCTTCATGTAAGTAATTTAGATCATTTTGTATACGCTTATTTTTCTTTATCTAAGACATGATATTTAGTTATAAGCTGTTTGGCAGATCTTATAAACATTTTATGATCTTTTTTAGCCATTTTTTAAGCTCTAAATGACTAGGTGGATATCGATTAGATGGAGGGCTTCCAAGCTTACTACTATTAGTATTTCCTACATCATTCAAGGTATTGATTTGAGATATAGTTTTTTTTTATCTCACAAATATAGATAAAAAAAAAAATTTTTTAAAATAATATAATTTTTCTATATTTTCAAAATGATATATTTATCCTGATTATTCCAATTATCCCAATAAATTTTTTTTGAATTAATGTATTTATTCTAATTATTCTATAAATTATTTTTGAAATAATACATTTTTTCTAAATATCAAAAAGACTACACTTATCTTATTTATCTCAAAGAATATATTTTTTCTATTTATTCTATTTAATATTTTTTTTGAAATATTTTATCTGAAAAAAAAATACACCATCCTGATTATGGTTAGACAACGTATAAATTGTAATGTGCCTTTATTTTCACCAGCTGATCACGATTTTATTATGCAACGTAAAAATGAAAAGCCAAGGAAAAAAGTTTTAGAAGAATTAATGCATAAATATAACACATCAATGAAACACATATATCAGATTTGGAGAGGCGAAGAAGCTAATAGGATTGCTTGGAATCAACTAATAGCTGATATTTCTAATATCGGATCTAAGGTCATTCACTTAAGTGAATCTGCCTCTTATGCTGTTATGCTATCCGCTAAAATAGAAGGAGAAATTACTTCTTTTTCACCTGACTTACCATTGAAGAAAAATATCTGAAAAAAGAAGACATGTAAAACGAGTGTAGCCTCCGCTGAAACAGATAATACTATTAACCATGCCCTTTCTAATGATAATATATCTAGGATAGAATCTGAACTTGAAAAAGTATTAAAAAAAATAAATGATCTTGATAATTCTATTTAGTCTTTCACTGCTTTTTAGCAAGTATTTTTATTGCACTTAATGCCTTACCAAGCCATTCTTCAGCTTTTGTAAGATGCTCTTCAAGCTTTTTACAGTTTATGTACGTTTTTTTAAGTCCTCTTTACTAGTCGGGGTAGAGAAGTTGACAGATGTTTGAGATAATGAATCTTGCTCATCTTTTGGCAGATCCTTAGCTACTGGGGCCTTACTATATGTTGGAATAAGGATGAATATGTGCAAAGAGAGAAAAAGGGTAGGTCTTGCTATATTAAATGTGACAATCTAATTATTTGTGG